CATAGGCTTCACACATCAGTTACCAATCAGCAAACAGATAAAGTAAGCATGACATAGCCAATCACAATATGGGATGTCTCATTAAGATCGATATTAAGATGTCAGCTTGCTACATTTGGAATTGTTTTTTTTAATGAATTTTTGTAAATGATGGTTTTTGATGGCACAATAAAAGGATCATAACACCAAGGTAATTGTCCTTCGGTTTCCGAAGCAACCAATTACGAACATGTCTTATCCATCTTTTCAATGAAATGAAAGTTGCAACTGGATACTTCAAATCCTATATGCAAAGACCAAGATGGTTGCATTCTTATTTAGCTTTATAGTGTTGTATAGAGGTTGTTTGACCTTGTTTTCGCAACATAGTCATAGTGGTAGGAATTCTTAGAGGAAGGCACCTAGTCCGGAGTCCATTGTATGCATGATAATTTCCAAAGTCGGACCGTGGACGTGATACATTCCCAGACGTCTAACCGGAGTCATAGTCGGTATCGTCAATGAGTCTCACCACTATTAACACCATACAATAACTCGTCAAAGAGATAAGTAAAGCCGAGACAATGAGGGAGATTAGAATAGGAGGCCCGAGCCCGATTAGCTGATCAAAGGAAAGGGGGTCGGGGTGAATATCAGGTGTGATGAGGCGACACTAGATTTGCCACGAAAGGGCACACATTTTGACGAGTGCAATGTAAACAAGTCAGAAGTTGTGATAGGGCAGCAGTGGGAAAAGAGGTGAAACATTTGATAGATAGGCCAGGACAGAAAGAGGAGTGATAGTGTAACCGTTTTTGGCAGAACGCTGCTTTAAGGATTGACTTCACTTGTCTCTTTGACGAGTTCGTAGCTTGGTGCGGAGAATGGGAAAACTCACTGATGATGCCGACTACGATGCCGGCAAAACGTTTGAAAATGTACCAAGTCCACTGTCTGATGCTGGGAATCATGACAACTATTATGGCAGACGACTTCGGAGTAGGTGCGTTCTACTAGGTCACCCTGACAACAAGACCAAGTTGCGACAACGAGGTCAACCCACTTCTACAAAACTAAGGCTGACAGAAGGCCACACCATCTTGGTCTTCATATCTACGACCCACTTAATATTGCCCATTTACTTATTCACACAATTCTGTGCTCTCGTCTCTTCTAATGTCGCCTAATACTTTGCCGCTACAAGGGGATTTAGTGAGGAGTAATCATCCTCACCACTAGTTCCAATTTCGTTTGAAGAGCTTGTTGATCGGTCGCTGTTACAGATCAAAATCATTGTCTGAAATCTGGCTGCCTATGACCCTTTAATTCCCGTCCCCGTTTACGTCATAATCGAGGATATAGAGCGGTAATGCCCAAGCCTAGGCATCTTACTTTCCTAAGGCTTCAGACCCATAACTCAGTTATCCTCTTTCTCATCCACACCCACATTGTACCTCATTCATTGGGGCACTGTGTCCGGCTTAAGTCGGAAGCCCCTGTGTGAAAATCTACCGCATCCCTTTACCATTCCTGAATCACATAAAGCAAGTTGACAGTCCCACTAGACAGTTATTCATGTATATATTGGTTAATATCCCCACCCATTTTTTGGTGTGTGGCCGGTAAGGGCGATATGATCAGATGTCCGATCTTTCAGTATACATTTTTTTGGCGTAATCACTGGTGTTCTTTGGTTGTCTGATTGTCCTTGTGCTCTGATTGTCCTTCCCGTCTCTCCAATTCATTTTTGTTTACAGTCCTTGCGGAGAACTCCATTTTGTTGACTTCTTCATGTTGAGCAGACAAGCTGATGAAGAGAGTTATTCTTTCATTTAGGGATCGTACGAATGTTGTCTTTCAATTGTATTGGACTCAGCTTTTGAGCCAATTTCATAGCTTTTCCTCCGTTTCCCTTGGTTTCCTTTAATAGTCCGTGCCCTTCCATTTGCTCATCACAATCCGTATATTGTGTTGTATTGCTTCTTCTGAATATCAACTTCCAAGAAGAATAAGTTAGTCTTTCCTGTTCCTCTTCCCAGAACTCTTAGGACCATACGCTTGAGTATGCCCATTTTCATTCCATAAGTATAGTTAGACTGAAAGTTAAGGAGTATTCCTGTAT